GTTAAAGTCCGTTCCATAAAGTACTTGACCTATAGCCTCTGTTTACAGAAAGCACACATGGAAATGAAGTGACATTAGAAGAGTCGGGGGACACTTCCCCTATGGTACACAGGCGGAGGCCAGAGTACTGTAGGGGTTCTGAGGACAGACAGCAAAGCAGTTTCTGGTAATCACTGAGGAGGCAGCATCTGTTCTAGGAAAAAGGACCCCCACCTGTGTCTCACCAGACCCTGAAGTCAGGACAGCAGTCATGCCTGGCCACTACAGATGCTGCTGTGCCCCTGACAGCCTTGAAAACTAATGTAGCAGGCCCTGACACAGGAATCTTTCTGCATCTTTATCACTGGAAATGATGCCTGGATCCAGCCCAGAGAGTGGCGGAGTTTAAAAAGGGAGGTTTCTCTTTGTGGAAGGAACAAACATGATTCAGCACAAGATTAGGAACGTGGGGGCCAGGCTCTCCCATCAGGCTCCACTCCCCTCCCGCCACCTCAGCAGAGGCCCCAGACTGCACCTGCTGGATAGGATCCCATGGTGCCACGGAGCCGGGCACCTTGCCACTCTTCTATCCAAGAACACCACCGCCTGGCAAGCTGCCAGGAACAGCCAAGCCCCGTGGACATCACTCCCAGCAACCCAACCGCACGGAAAGCAAACATGCCTCGTCTCATGACAGTACTAACAAGCCGGGCAAATCAGCCCACAGCTGCATAGCCGAAGCTGGGGACTCCGAGTGCTTGCTGAGGGCGCACTGTGGTGACGGCAGCAGACCTATGTCTTCACGGCACACAGACTCGCTCAGCTGTGTCACAGCCTGCAAGTTTTTAATGCTGTTACTATAGACAATAGTGGGGGAGGGGGTCTCAGGAAGCACGTGATTGTCTGACAGACAAAATGGAAAAACTGTGTGGACTGAATGCCACCCGTGTGATGGGACCTCGAAGGCACGTGGATCTCAGGTGTGCTCTGGAAGGTAGCTTTGGAAGGGTAAGGAGCATTCCGTGGAAACAAGAAGATGTGGTTCAGGGGGAGGAAGGAGAGCCAGGCCTCGCGTGGGGGCTTCCTTGCTCTAGGGTGGCCTTCCAGCCCACTAACTTGAAAACATTTTCTTAGGTGGGGGTGGGGAGAAGAAAGGTAACCTTCAGAGGTCATTTTTGTCATCTTTCTGCCTCCAGGTAGGAAAGAGCAGCCCAATCTCCAGATCTCCAGGGAGCCCCCAAGTGCTTATCCATTATTCACCTCTTCTTGAGGGGCAAATGACATAGGTGCGTGGTGGTTCTTTTGTGCATTAGCTGATGTGTCACCTGCTCCCAGGTACAAGTGTGGTCAGCCCTGCTACCCTGAACAGCAGAGAGAACCAGGAATCCAGGCCTAAGCCACACCTTACTGGGGCAGGTCTACTGGGCAGGCAAATACAACAGCTCTGCCCAGAAGGGGTGCACCATGTGAGACCCTCCTCATGGGAACAGGAAGAGATGGGCCACCCCAACTGGGTGTATACCAGGGAAATGGACTCCTTGTTCTGGTTTTCCATGAAGTGGGCCAACAACCCAGCCTAAAATATTGGGGACTTGGAAAAACTCCTGAAGAGATGCCACATCACTTTCCAGTAGCCTACACTTGCCCTCCTTCCAGGATAGAAGGTTGCTTCTTCTCTAGTGCTCCTTAAAGATGGTAAACCTGAGTCTAAGACTTGGAGAAAGACTCTAGGAAAAGGGTAAGGCCTGGGACTGGGGACAATGGAAGGGGAGAAGAATGGCCTTCCCCAGCCAAAACTGGCTTCTTGCATCCTCATAAGACCTGCTTGGGGCTACTTCTGAATGTGCAGGGAGGTTCGGATTCACACTGAACCCTGGCCAGATAGACAAAAGGCAAAAACTCCTTGGGCTGGGCCAAGAAAGAATGCCATGATCTGGCCCTCAGTGTGGCCAAACCCAAAGTAGGGTAGATTCTCTTATTTCTTATCATGGTTTCTGTGAGAACACGTCTTGACTGACAGCACCAAGACTATTTTACACTGTTTGTAGAATTCCCTCTTTGTAAAATGAGGAAACACAGTGCCGGGCCCAAGGTCACAGCAGACTGAGGACCGGAAGGCAAGCCACCAACTTGATCCTTGGCCCTCTGGCTTTTCTCAGATTACAACGCTCCTGAAGGGAAGGGGATCACTTTTTACTCCTTCAAGGCAGCTGCCTGGCATCCTGCCTGCACTCCTGGCCACAGTTCAGGGTCAATTGCACTGAATGAAGAACCCCTCCCCCCCACAATCATACCATTCTAGCAAGTGACAAAGTAGAGAGACATCCCCTAAATTTAGATGTGAAAGAGGGGCATTTAATAGAAGTAGATCAGCAGCCACAATCCTGCAGCCTACTACAAACTGCCACATGTGGTGTCCTGGGCCTCTGCTTCCATGGCCCTGGTCTGTAGCAAGTCACAGCAGGGAGACAGGTGGCATCAGACTGGAGCAGAGATTCTGAACTCGGAGTCTGTAGATAGGTTTCAGGAGCTCTGCAAACCTTCTGAAATTCCTTGTGAGATTGTGTGTGTTGGTGCATTTGTCTATGAAGAGCATGTGTAGCTCTTTTAGAGCCTCAAAAAGGTCAAGGACCCCAGGAAGTTAAAAACCACAGGAATTAAGGATTCTGAGTCCTCTCCAACCACCTGGACTCAGGCAGATACAAATCCAGCAGCCCAAACCCATGTTATCAAACATAGCAGAACATGCTGGGGCAATGGGATGATGGCTACTGTCCTGGCTGCTACCCCTCTGGCCCCGTTCCCAGAGCACATTCCAGCAGGGGTCTCTGCCTACTGTGCTGCTGAAGAAGAGGCTCTCCGCCTTGTGTCCCTCCATGTCTCTCACTCACTGCTCATTTCCTTCTAAACATCACCACCTCCGGACCAGAGGAGGAAATTGGAAAGGAAAACACAATCTGCAAGGAAGAGCCACTACAGTGGACAGCACAAATCCAGCTGGACGTCCCTCCAAACTGCCGCAGAGTCCTAGAAAACCACCACCATTTGCTATGGGCATTTGGTCACCCCTGTGCATTCCTTGAACACTGCCCAGGGCCCATGACCACTTACTTCCTGGAGGGGTCCTGCCCTGATCTGTATATTTCAGGCATCCCTGTATCTCGGGATCCAGCCACACTTCAGCTCTCCAGTCCACCAGCCCTCACAACACCAGCACACAGCTTTAGGGCTGTTGCTTCCACAGAAAAGGTGGACACCTGATAACCCCCTCCTGCCTTCATTAGCCCATCCAAGTCCTGCAGCTGAGGAGGCTTCTGGGAGACCAATAAGCCCCATGCTCACACATCTGAGGAGGTGCCCATCTCAGGACTATGTGGGGGGGGGGCTGCAGGGGCTTATCTGCTCTCCTGCAAGGAAGGGGGTAGCTCACTTTCCCCAGGATGTGGAAGCATACTCAGTCCCAGGGGGGCTGGGGAGCCCAAAGTATGTGCCCCTTCAGGTCCAGCCATCTGCTGTAGGCCTCCAACTGGCCCTCGAGAATCTAGCTTCCATTTGTTCTCTCACTCTCTGAGAAGGGCTTGTCAGTCTCTCTACTCTATCTCCCAAAGCACCCAACCCGGGGCTGGGGGAACAGCATGTGACCACTAAAACCTTCCTACTGTCTGGTGTGCCTGGTGTGCAAATAGGATACCATGGTCTGGAAAATCCATTATTCTGTTTGAAAGCAAAAGAATTACTATAAAGGTTTCCAATTTTCAAAAGACAAAGAAATATACACTGCTGAAGTTAAGCAGCGCATAAGGCCATCTTTCCTTGATGATTCAATTCAGAGGAGGCATCTAGGGATCCAGCTACATTTCAGGCATCATTCTGGATCTAGTTTGGAAAGCAGAGATAGGAGCAGAAGTCCTAAGTCCTCTCAGTCTCTGCTTCCCCTTCCCTGTGCAGCACATATGTTGGGGACCATATCCAGGGTACAAGTGCACCAGATACAGGTGAGATAGGACACAACAGAATCCAAGAGGGACGTGGGTCCCAGGAAGGTACTCCTATAGCCTCTTTCATGGGTGATGGGAAAACCTCAGGAAGGTAATCTGACATTCCACCTCTAATTGGGTCAGTCAGTGAGACTATGGGGCCTGGACTGTCTACCTCCAAAACCAGGCCAAGACAACCTGTTTGGTAATACAGGAGGGCAGCTTTGCACCCTTCTGTCTCTCTCTCACATGCAACAAAATCCATGGCACCCGCCATGCCCTCCCCCAAAAGAAACCAAGAAAGGAGAATGAGCCAGAGTGGTGGGTAACCACATGGGTAGCCAGGGTAGCCCCAAAGCAGAAGGAATTGGCCAGATCTGCAGAGTCTGATCCTTAACCAATGGGGCAGGCAGGGGCTAGCGGCCTCCAGTGTTCCTGCTGGCCAGGTGGTCAGACCAAGCCGCCCTGTTTCCCTTGCTTCCCTCAGGGGCTCATGGCTGGGGACCAGTCAAAGTTTGTGAGGGGAAGTGACACAGTCTCCTCCTCGAACTGCAATCCAGGATGCCTCCCAGGCGAGTGACCCCAAACCTAAGGATTGGGCTCTCATTAGACCAAAGGTTTTGCCCCTGGACTCCTCGGGAGGCCAGGTTTCAACCGATAACCCCACCTTCCTTGAGAATCCTTGGCTGGGAGTGACTGCCAGGGGGAAGAAAGGAAGAGAGCCCTGGCCCAAACCCAGCACGCATCCTTGTATCCCCTCCCACCAACCATCCTGGAGACCAGCCTCCTTCTATGCCTACTGAGGAGAGAAGTGGGGACGTTATTCCAACAGGTCCCCCCTCACCCGGCCTCACTTGGCCAGCCTTCCTCCGCCCTGCCCTGAGGCCCCAGATTGAGGGGAGCGCTGAGGCACCTGCTGCCAGACGGGCTCTATCCCCGCGGGAGAGGACCCTACGAGATGGCCCTCCGCGCCCCGGCCTCCTCGGGAAGGGGCGGGGCGCTCCCAGGGCCGGCGCACCCCTGACACCCCCTCCCCGCGCTCACCTGGCGCAGGTGCTGCAGCAGCGTCCCCGCCTCCTCCCGCCGGCCCTGGCGCACCATCCGCAGCAGCTCCTGGACCATGCCCACGCGCCGGTGGTAGGGGGGCAGCCCCGCACTGGCGCCCGCTCGCCCCGCCTTGTCCCCGGCGCGCAGCAGCAGCGACGCCCAGAAGTCCGGCCGTTCGCGGCGGGGTCCGGGCCCCGCGCCGGGGCTGGCTCTCTCCGCCAGGCTGCCCTTGGTC